CCTTGCTGCACGCCATCGACGTTGTCGCACACCACGACCTGCCAGCGCAGCTCCTCTTGGGCTCCCACCTGGATGTTGCGTAGCAGGCGCCCGATCACCAGCCCCGTGTCGGGCTACCCCGCGACGTCGTAGCTGATGAAGAGCTGCAGATTCTTGGTCATCAGCGAGCTCGACTCATGGCTCGCGGCAGCTGCGCCCCTCCCAAGAACGCTGCCGTCAAAGGCCCCCCTCCCGAGACCTTGAGCCAAAATGGCTTGAGCCCAAATGGCTTGAGCCATCATGGCCACGGAGGAGGAGGAGGAGGAGGAGGAGGAGGAGGAGGAGGAGGAGGAGGAGGAGGAGGAAAGGGAAGAGGAGGAAAGGAGGAGGAGGAGGAAAGGAAGAAAGGGAGGAGGGGAGGTGGAGGAGGAGGAGGAGGAGGAGGAGGAGGAGAGGAGGAGGAGGAGGAGAGGAGGTGAGCGGAGGCGGAGGAGGAGAAACGAGGAGGAGAAGGAGCAGGAGGAGGAGGAGGTGGAGGAGGAGGAGGAGGAGGAGGAGGAGGAGGAGGAGGAGGAGGAGGAGGGGGAGGGGGAGGGGAGGGGGAGGGGGAGGGGGGAGGAGGGGGAGGAGGAGGAGGAGGAGGAGGAGAGGAGGAGGAGGAGGAGGAATGAGGAGGAGGGGAGGAGGAGGAGGAGGAGGAGGAGGAGGAGGAGGAGGAGGAGGTGGAGGAGGAGGAGGAGAAGGAGGATGAGAAGTAGGAATAGGAGGAAGAGGAGGTGGAGGAGGACGAGGAGGACGAGGAGGAGGAGGATGAGGAGGAGGAGGAGGAGCAGCTTGCTGCTTGCAGTTTTGGCGGGGCGTTCCTCTATTCCATCATCTTGCTGCTCCTCGCGCGTGTTGCCCAACTTCGAGTGCGACGTGGCGGGCGGGCGTTGGCCTGCCAACTCTGACGCTACGAGCTTTGGCTGCGCGGCTTGCCTAAGGAGGGAAAAAGGAGGGAGAGCAGAGTTGGCCCAGACTGCATCAACGATGCTGAGCCCAATATCTCATCCGAAGCCTTTGTCTGCAGCGCCACCCACACGTTGTACTACTGTTTGCCCGTCACCCCCAAAGGGGCGACGCGCGCGCCGAGAAGTCTCATAGTAGATGCTCCGCGGAGGGCGCTTTCTGGCCGTGCCGCTCGGGAAACGATGTACTACAATACAGTGCCGTTTTTCAATACATGCTCCGCGTGCGGATCATGTATTAAGCACGCAGGAATTTAGTATTTAAAGCAACGATGAGTTCATGCATAGATTTATGCATAAATTACTCATGTATTAAACATCCCATAATTCGGAACCCTGTGTATTATGCATTGTTTTTTCCCAGAAATTATTCATATATTAAAATCCCATATGTTTGGAATCCGATGTATTAAAAACTGCCCTGTATGATTGTACTAAATGTTCGGATCGGACGCGCGCCTCCGAGGAAGACGCACAGTACAAGCATGTCCTTCTGCGATTTCGTGGAGGGCCGTCCTGCGGGACGTCTCCGGCGTCCGCCCGTCTTTCTTCGCGTCCCAAGGCCAGGAGGAGAAAGAGGAGGAGGAGGATGACGAGGAGGAGGAGGACGAGGAGGAGGAGGAGGAGGAGGAGGAGGAGGAGGAGGAGGAGGAGGAGGAAGAGGAGGATGAGGAGGAGGAGGATGAGGAGGAGGAGGACGAGGAGGACCCTCATAAGTCCTGGCAGGCACTCTTTGTCATTGCGCCCCGCGCCCCCCTTGAAGAGAAAGGCGAGGGGCCCATGGCCGCAGGCCATGCTATTGCCCCAGTCCCCGAGCTCCGCCCGAGAAGTTGGGCCGCTCAGGAACACGGGGGAAACTCTGGGATACACCCCAGGCTGCTCGGACTCACCCCTATCGAGGATGGACGCCCTCCATCGCACTACCAGGCGATCGAAGACGTGGATCAAGGGGGCATGGATTGGCGACGGGTCCCGCTTCCATGGGAAGTCGCGGAGTTCCGCCGCCGAGCGAGGCAGCACCAGCCGCATGTCGGGGAGGGGACTTCCGCCGATCCATGTTTGCGCGCCCCCGAGTACATCCCAGGCTTGAGCCCCAAATGTTTGGTCCGATCGAAGAAACCTCCCACAGTCGGGGGTGAGGGTCGCCACCTGCCCAGTTGCCGAGGGCGCCCTCGAGGAGGGCGCGAAGTTATTCGCGCCTCGCGCTGCTCGCTTCGCGCTTCGGCTCCGATTCCTCCTCCTCCTCCTCCTCCTCCTCCTCCCTGCTCCCCCCTCCTCCTCCTCCTCCTCCTCTCTCCTCTCTCCTCCTCCTCCTCCTCCTCCCCTCCTCCTCCTCCTCCTCCTCCTCCCCCTCCCCCTCCCCCTCCTCCCCCTCCTTCTCCTCCTCCTTCTCCTCCTCCTCCTCCTCCTCCTGTCCTCCTCCTCCTCCTCCTCCTCCTCCTCCTTGTCTTCTCCCTTGGGGGGCGGCGCGAGGGCGCGAAGTTGCCCGCGCTGCGCGCCTCGCGCCTCGCGCCTCGCGCGAAGCTTTTGGCGCCCTCAGCTGCATGGGCCCTGCCTTTGCGTTTTGTCCCTTCGACGCTCGACTTCCTTCCCTCGGGGGAGGAGGAGGAGGGTGAGGAGAAGGAGGAAGCGGAGGAGGAGGAGACGGAGGAGGAGGAGGAGGAGGAAGGAAAGCAGGAGGAGGAAGAGAAGGAGGAGGCGGAGGAGGAGGAGGAGGAGGAGGAGGAGGGATGCGAGGGGAGAAGGGGAGCGCAACCAAAGATTAGCAGTGCATGCGCCCTCGGCCTTCAGCGTCCAGACGTAGCCTGTGTAAGAGGGCCTGCTAAAGCATGTCTGGGCTCACATGTCTCTCCGCACGTGACGGTCCGGCCAACCTCAAGTCAGATTTATTGCCTACTCAAGATTCAGAAGTGCCGCGCGCGTAGCTGTCCGGCCACGTTCGCCTGAGACATCCTCGCAACTCTGGGTTCAGAGATGCTTCGGCCGGTGCTCTCGCCCGAGCGTTAGCCACATCTATATGCTGATACGCTCATAGTCTCTTGGCCCTGCGGCGCAACTTGCAGGCCTCCTTGAGCCCTCCCTGGGGCCCCCACTGAGGCCGCCAGCGGGCCTCTCTTGGGTTTGCTTTAAGGAGGAGGAGGAGGAGGAGGAGGAGGAGGAGGAGGAGGAGGAGGAGGAGGAGGAGGAGGAGGAGGAGGAGGAGGAGGAGGAGGAGTCCATGAGGAGAAGGAGGATGAGGAGGAGGAGGAAGAAAAATACGAAGAAGAGGAATCATACTAAGAATAACATTATTGATCATAATAATAGTAAGACGAATAATCATAATAACAATAAGCAATAAGCATAATGACACAAATAATAATAATAATACTACTAGTAATAATAATAATAAGAAGAGGAGGAGGAGGAGCAGGAGGAGGAGGAGGAGGAGGAGGAGGAGGAGGTGCTCTTGGGGGGGGGGGGGGGGCGTTTGGAGGCCTGGGATCACTGGGGGTACGAAGTAGCGAGTTTCAGCTTTGCGCCTGGGTCGGCCCCCCTCCCCCGAGGGGGGGACAAGAAAAGCGCCGAGGGAAAAGCGAACGGGCGCCGAGGGAACAGCACCACAACAGAAAAAGCGCACGAGGGAAAGCAGTAGAGCGACAACGCCCCGAGGGGATAACAAAACGTCGAGGGACGACAATGAAAAGCGTTGCCCTTGGAGCCCTCTCGAGCTGGTAAAAAAGGGCCCCCAGCCCAAGGTGTGATCCCCAGGCAGGCCCTCGCGGTCTCCAGCGTATCCTTCGCGAGGCCCAGAGTCGGGGCGAGCACAGTGGGGAAGCGAGAAGGGGCGGGCCTTCTCAGAAGGCTCGGAAGTCCCCCGGCCTTCTGAGAAGTTTTCTCAGCCTTCCCCGAAAACGGAAACAACTTTTCAGAAGGCGCGAGTACAGTGAGAAGTCCCGCCACCTTCTGAGAAGGCCTTCTCCTTCTCATTTCCCCCTCTCGCTCGCTTCCGAATTTGTTTTTCAAGTCATAACTCGGGTCTCCGGCGGCTGTTCGGGACGATCTGGGCACCCGGAACGCCCGCGGCGAGGCGCAGCTGCTGGCAAGCATCCCGAGGCTGGAAAACCGCCGAGAGCACACGAAAACGTCCGAAAACCTCGAACCTCGAAGTTCGAACCTCAAAGCTCCCCCCCCCCTCGCTCGCCCTTCTCTCCTTTTCTTCTCTCCTCCCCTCCTCCTCCTCCTCCTCCTCCTTGCTTCTCCTCCTCTTCCTCCTCTTCCTTCTCGCCTCCACTGTTTAACCACCCAGGGGGAGCCCAGCGGCGCCGCCGACAGGGCCTCAGGGGCTCCAGATTTGCAGTCAGGGCGCCGACATGGAGACCACCTTGGCCCCAAGACAGTCTGCGACTTTCGGGCCCTTCTCGAGGTCTCTCGGCGGGGGGGCCCCTTCGCGGACGAGGCCCGCGGAGGCCAGGAGGGCCCCTTTCGCTCCTAAGATTTTGTGCTCCTTGGTGTGCACTGAAAATCGTGATCCTGCAAGGGGGGGGGATACCCCGGTGTGTGTGTGTGAGAGAGAGAGAGAGAGAGAGAGGCTTGGTGACTTGGCCCGGCGGGCCTGGCTTCCCCTCTTCCCGTCTCGCCGGGGTCTCCTCTTCCCACGTGCCTCGCGGCCCAATTTACATCCAGTGCGCCCCCCTGGTGCCCGATCGCCGGAGCAGTCACCCTCTGCCCAGCCGCCGACGCAAGCAAGTCTGTGTATGCGAGAGAATTCGATTGGATTTTGCACCGAACCGCCCAACACAGATGCCCCCCCCGCCGCGGGCAGCTCCCGACATTTGCCGGCAATTGGAGCATGTGGGGGGCATCTGTTTGCGGCAGTTCGGTGCACCAGCGGATCGAACTCAGGCCCCCCCTCTCAGGGCCCCCCCCCCCTTTCTGGTGGATCCCGAGGGAAGCGGGGAATGCCTCTGGCCAGGGGCACCTGTGGCAACCTCCGAAAAGCTGAAGGGGGGACGACTGGTCTGGGCCTCCCAG